GGCCACTCCTCTGCCTACTCGCCACTCACTCTCAGCTCTGCCTTCGGATGAGTCCGTAGAGTCGAGTGGTCCGTATGCAGAGCTTGTTGGCTGCCTCATGTACCTGATGACCTGCACACGACCTGACCTTGCATACCCTCTGAGCATTCTTGCACGCTATGTTGCTCCTGGGAGACACAGACCGGAGCACATGGCTGCAGCGAAGAGGGTATTGCGCTACCTGTGCAGTACGTCGGGCATGGGGCTAGTGCTTGGAGGGCGGAGTCCAGTGGTCCTTACCGGCCACGCGGACGCTTCTTGGGCTGAAGACCAGGCTACGCAGCGGTCGTCACAGGGTTACACCTTCAGCCTTGGTTCCGGCTCTGTCTCGTGGCGGTCTACTCGCTCGTCTTCGGTTCTCGGCTCCAGTTGTGAGGCTGAGATCTACGCCGGGGCCATGGCTGCACAGGAGCTTCGCTGGCTCACCTACCTGCTGACTGACCTTGGAGAGCCGCCTCGTTCTCCTCCAGTGCTGTACGTAGACAACAAGGCTATGCTGGCCTTGTGTCGAGAGCAGCGCTTGGAGCACAGAACGAAGCACATTGCTCTCCGCTACTTCCTTGCTCGTGAGCTGCAGCAGCGTGGTCAGTTGCGACTTGCGTACGTGGCCTCTGAGGCCAACACTGCTGATGTGTTCACCAAGGCACTCGCGCCTTGTGACCATCAGCGCTTTTGCACCCAGCTGGGTCTTGTGCCTGTCTTGCCTCACTTGCTCTCCTCTTGACTTCACTTGTACTGTGACATATATATATGCCTGCTCTTGTTTGTCTAGTTTTATATATATGTCTGTACTCCTGCATGTGAACTGGCCTCTGGCCCTACTCTTGTGCTCGGACTGTGTGGTGACTTTGTGATCTACCCTGAGCTTGCTTTGCTTTGCTTGACTGGTCTTGTGACCCCTTGTTCTCCCCCACTTTGCCTATGGGGGTGTGTCAGATTTATATGACATAGTTGCTGTAGGCTATAGTGGGGTAGCACATATGGGGTACAGGGTTTCTAGGGTTGTATTTGTACCCAATCTTTCCTTAGTCATTCCATTCCTGTTTTCTTTACTTCACAGGGAGTTGGAGACTTGACAGTGAGCCAGACGGAACCGCCGGACAAGGCAGAATAGTGGAGGAACGTGCAATGACTATGCCCCCAGAGGGGTCAGCCAGAGCGACAGCAACATGTGCAGAGAGTGGTGTGACTGTGATAGTGTCGCGAAAGAAACAGAGAGACGCTCCTGAGTCAAGCGTGAAGGTGTGCAAGGCCGAAGCAGACGCAGTACCCGAGAGAGCAGACTCACCAGCACCTAGAGGAGCAGACTCACTAGCACCTAGAGCAGCAGCCTCTATACTTGTGTCTGGCGGCATACACAGGTAACAGTCACCCTCAGCACTAACAGTCAACGCATACATGGCAGATAGGATAGCATCATAATCAAGAGCAAATATGTCTACACCCTACTTAAGCAGCTTTTCCCAGCGGGGGAGCTTAGCCGCGTCTGGAAACTCTGTGCGGAAGGCATCGGTAAGACGAGAGAAGCAGCGGTACTGGGTGTGGAGCTTCCGGCATGTCTGACCAGTGCGGTCACCTGTGCAAATAACATACAGGCAGGGACCACTATCCCCAGCCGCCCCACGCTGAGCAAACCACTCACGTAGCTCTTGGGGCGAAAGCTGACGTTGCTGCTGCCGCTGCCGCTGACCACCGCCCAGGCGTCCCCTCTGACTCGTACCACCCCGGCCGCCACCACTGCCACCGCCTCCACTCCCACTCGCCACCACTGCCGCCGCCACTACCGCCACTGCCGCCACCACTGCCGCCACCTACACCTCCACCCCCACCACCACTCCCTCCGCCACTGCCGCCCCCTCCACCGCCTCCACCACCCCCATCACCGCCTCCACCTCTGCCGCCCCCACCGCCCCTGCCTCCCTTGCCAATGCTGCTGCGGCACCTCCCACTATGGACAAACGCAGCTCCTACCTCCTCAGCACGAAGGTAGTCAACAGCTGCAGCAGAGGCGACTGAGGGGAGAAGGGGGGAGGGCGAACACCCCTCAAAGAAGTGGGTGCGAGGAGTGCCACGAGAAGCGCCTACAGCGACCATGCTTGTCTCAGCTGCAAGGAGGTGCTTCTCAAGCAGGTCGACAGTGAGTGTGGTGGGGTCAACGACTAGAAGGAGCTCTTTGACAGCGCTAAGAGAGTTAGGGAGGCGGGTGACTATGAAGTAGAGAGTGATGTACATGGGAGGAGGGTTCTTGGTGAGAAACTCGGCGGGAAGCGCAGCGCGGTAGCAAGTGTCACTAGTGCGAAGGTGAGTGACGAGGTCGGCTACTGTGGCAAAGGCGGACAGCTCTGGGAACAGGTAGGGCAGGAGAAGGCGGCATAGAGCAGCAGTGGCCGGGGAGGAGTAACAAGCGACTACAGCGTCATACAGTGCTTTCGCAGTCTTATGCTGTCCGAAGTGAGCGCGTTCGGCTAACAACAGGTGGTTGCGAACGGCTAAGCGAGCAGCAGCGTCACGAGTAAGCCACTGTGAACAAGTTGTACTGTCAGCTGTGGCGGCAGGGGCAAGAGATGCGCCAGACGTGAGGTCATACAGTGAGACTCTGTCCTTGGAATCGCTCAGTAAGAACAGCTGTAGGTCGTCGAGCCACGCATCGAACTCTATCGGGCGGCCCTCCGGATCGAACGCGAGGACACTGAGCGTGGCCATAGCGGGTAGAGCGGTCGGGCGCGCTAGCAGCAGAGCAGCAACCAGGCAGGGCAAAGCAGGGCGGTGACCAGCAGGGCGACTCTCAGAGTAGTAGCGCGGAGTAGGGCTGGGCGGCAGTCAGTAGGGCAGGGTAGCGCGGCTGTTAGGGGCGCTCAGGTAGGGCGGTGCGGCCAACACGGGCAAGGCGGCGCGGCTAGCAGGGCAGTGCAGTAGGGTAGTGCAGTGCAGGGCGGCCAGCAGGGCAGTGGCCAGTAGGGCAGTGCAGGCTAGCATGGCAGTGCAGGGCGGCGCTCAGTAGGGCAAGGCGGGGCGGGCCAGCAGTGCAGGGTAGTGCTGGCCAGCAGTGCAAGCTAGCGGTGCAGGGCAGTGCAGGGCGGTGCAGGCCAGCAGGGCAGTGCAGGGTGGTGCAGGCCAGCAGGGCAGTGCAGGGCGGCGCTCAATAGGGCAGGGCGGCCGGCCAGCAGGGCAGTGCACGGGCAGGGCAGGGCAGGGCAGCCGTGCATGCAGAGCAGCAGCGCGGAGTAGGGCAGGTGTACGGGGCAGAGCTTACACGTGCAGGCAGGGCAGGGCAGTCGCGCTTGCTGGCACTACACTGTGCAGGGCAATGACAGTAGTGCAGTAAAAGTAGGGCAGTTGGATAGCGGGCCGGCGAGGTGTAGGGCTAGTGCAAGTGCACGGGTGGCAGGGAAGGTGCGCACGGGCCTGGCGCGGGCTGTACGGACTGCGTGCGGGCCTAGCACGGGCCGTACGGGCTGCGTGCTAGTCGTGCACGGGCTGTACGGGCTGTATGCGGGCGGTGCGCGGGCTGTATGGGCTGCACGAGGGCGTCGCACGGGCTGTACGGGCTACGCGCGGGCGGTTCGCAGGCTAAACGGGCCTGGCGCGGGCTGTACGGTCCACGCTCAGGCAGTTCGCGGGCTAAGGACGCGTCACAATTGCAACACCGATCCTGTCGGAGATCGGTGTCTAGGTGTACAGTAATTTGCTTAGTTGTGTATCCCTTTTTAATTGACTGTCACGAAGACTAGAGAAAATTCACATAAGCGATAGATTTTCCAATATCGATCTGTCACAGTACTTAAATCAATCGTACTGTATTCAAAGCTTTCCGAAACGTCTCTAACCCTGCCAAATAAGGAACCTAAGGACGATCGCAACACATGTGGCTCGGAGGCGATCGATGCTCACACTTCGGTGTGTGATCCCGATCCTCCTCCAATGTTGCAATTGTGACGCATCCTTAATGGGCCTGGCACGGGCTGTACGTGTCAAACTTATATGCTATAGTCTGTGTAGGCTGTAGTGGGGTAGACTATATGAGGTACAACACTTCTAGGTTTTCCTACTTGTACCCACCTCTTTCCTAGTTCATTCATTCCTCATTTCTTCACATGGTATCAGAGCATGTTCCCTAGTGGGAACGCTTCCTTGGGCCCACCACTGAAACGTTTTTTTCTGACCGAAGCGCCAGTCGCTCCTGCCCGAGGCGCGCCTTGTGGGCCGCCCTTCTGTCGAGCTCTCTTAAAGGCCCCTCTCACGGCCCCTCGTGCCGCCACTAGCGGCCCCATCGCCGCCCTTCCAAGCCCCTCACGGCCCCTAGCGGCCCCGTCGCCGCCCCTAGCGGCCCCCTCGCCGCCCCTAGCGGCCCCGTCGCCGCTCCCCTCCCTACGCGGCCCCGTCGCCGCCACTACACAGCCTTGTCGCCGCCCCTACGCGGCCCCGTCGCCGCCCCTACGCGGCCCCGTAGCCGCCCCTAGCGGCCCCGTCACCGCTCCCCTCCCTATGCGGCCCTGTCACCGCCCCTAGCGGCCCCGTCGCCGCTCCCCTCCCTACACGGCCCCGTCGCCGCCCCTAGCGGCCCCATCGCCGCCCCTGCCGGCCCCGTCGCCGCCTCTACTGGCCCCTTCACCGCTGAGCCGCCCAGCAGCTGAGCAGCCGAGCCGCCAAGCCGCCGAGCACCTGAGCCGTCCAACAGCCGAGCCGCCGAGCCGCCAGGCAGCCGAGCCGCCGGGCCGCCGAGCCGCCCAGCAACCAAGCCGCCGAGCCGCCCGACAGCCGAGCCGCCCAACAGCCAAGCCGCCGAGCCGCCCAGCAGCCGAGCCGCCGAGCCGCCAAGCCGCCGAGCCGCCCAGTAGCTGAGCCACCCATCAGCCGAGCCGCCGAGCCGCCCTGCCGTCGAGCCATTACTGTTCCTACCGGCGCGCTCGGCCCTACTTACTCAGACTGTTGAGATCACTCCCTGCTGGGCCACTGCAGTCATGGTTACCCCCAGTGTCCTTACCTTTGATGCTGAGGGTCGTGCTGTTGACTTTGAGGTCTGGGTCGATGACCTCGAGCTGTTCGTACAGCGCGATAGAGCAGACGGACTCTCCCTGTTCGATCTCACCTCTGGTGCCTCTCCTGCCCCGCCTGCTACTGCTGACAGCACTGTTCGCTCACAGTGGGCCACACGCGATGCTGCTGCCCGTCTTGCTGTGCGTCGCCACTTACCGACCACTGAGCGTGCGCACTTTAGCCAGTACAAGAGTACTAAGACCTTGTACGACGCTGTAGTTGCACGCTACTCTTCCCCTGCCACAGCTGCGCAGAGCCGCCTCATGCTGCCGTACTTGTTCCCTGACCTTGCTGCCTTTCTCACAGTCGCTGACCTCATTACGCACCTTCGCACTAGTGACACTCGCTACCGCGCTGCGCTTCTTGCTGAGTTTTGTGCCAAGAACCCCCCCCCCCCCCCCCCCCCCATGTACATCACCTTCTACTATATAGTCACCCGGCTCCCTGACTCCCTTCGCTTAGTCAGGGACCACTTCCTCTCAGTTTGCCCCACCACACTCACCATTGACCTCCTCGAGGAGCGCCTCCTAGCAGCAGAAAAGAGCATAGTCACTGTAGGAGCCTCTCGTGGTGACCCTCGCACCCCCGTCTTTGAGGGGTGTTCCCCCTCCCCCCTCTTGCCCTCTGTTTCTTCTGCTGCTGCGGCCGACCTCATTGGTTTCGAGTCGGTCGGCGCTGCGTCTACCCCTAGCGGGAGACGCCGCACCGGCAAGGGCAAGGGGGGCAAGGGCGCTAGAGGGGCTGGCGGGGGCGGTGGAGGTGGTGGTGGAGGCAGTGGAGGGGGTGGGGGTGGTGGTGGGAGTGGTGGCGGGGGTGGAGGTGTCGGTGGCAGCAGTGGAGGCGGAGGAGGCGGCGGCGGTGGCGGAGGGAGCGGAGGCGGCGGAGGTGGCGGAGGCGGCGGAGGTGGCGGAGGCGGCGAAGGTGGCGGAGGCGGCGGTGGCAACGGTGGAGCTGGCCGCAGCTCTGTGTAGAGGAGTGGCTCCAGTGGTGGTCCGCGCCAGCAGCAGCAGCGCAGTCGTGAGACCCTGTCCCCTCAGCAGCATCGTCAGTGGTACGCTGGGCGTCAGCGCGGTGGGGGTACTGGTCCCTGCATCTACGTCCTCCGTACTGGCGACTGCGCTGGTGAGCAGTGCGGGGGCCCGCACTCCACCCAACGCTGCTTCGGCCGCCTGACGGACGCGTGGCGTCACCAGTTCCCTGACGCCACTGAGATCCCTCGCTTGGGAGAGCTGTCTAGGGCGGGGGTCACTATCTTTGATCTTGATAATGCTGCTATTCTTGTTGCCATGTATGCTGTGTCTGATAGTGTTGAGGGTGACTGTTACCTGTGTGTTCCGCCTGACCCAGGCATTGAGGCTGCTGCTCTAGGTGCTGGTGAGGCTGCTGCTCTAGGTGTTAGTGCGTCTGCTGCCCCAGGTGCTGGTGAGTCTGCTCTCTCAGGTACTACGTTAGCTCAGGCCATACACACCTTCACCCTTGACTCGAATGCTTCCCGCTCCTTCTTTCGAGACTGCACCACACTTACGCCGCTTAGTCGGCCGGTTGCGGTCTCCGTGGCGGACCCCTCTGGGGGTCATGTCCTTGCTAGCTTCTCCACTGTCTTTCCGTGTCCAGCAGCCCCCTCTGGCACCCTGTCAGGTCTCTACCTCCCCTCGTTCTCTACGAACTTGTTGAGTGGTGCTGATCTATAGGATCGGGGGGTTGACCAGTTCACTCCTGCGAGTCAGCGGGTGACCCACTGTACTTGTGCTCGGACGGGCCAACACTTGACGTCGTTTACCCGTCGGCCGGGGTCGAGCCTGTACACACTGACTACTGAGTCTCCTCCGGCTACTGAGTCTGGTCAGGTAGCTGCGTCGAGTCAGGTGTTTGCTACAGCGTCCTGGTCTGGTCCTGAGTCTGCTCCCTGCTCGTGTCGTCTCCTGTCCCATCAGACTCTCCTTTGGCACCACCGCCTTGGTCACCCCTCCCTGCCTTGTCTCCGAGGCATGGCCTCACGTGTCCTTGTCTCTGGTCTCCCTTGGTCCCTACCTCCCCTACCTCCGGGGCCTGCCCCTACCTGCTGCGGAGATAACTGCAGCAACGGGAGTTAGACTACGGGTGACAGCGTTGCTCACGCAGGATTGCAGTTCACCCTGCTTTGCAGTTGTGCGCAGATGATTGGCGCGCACAGTCTTGTCACCTGCACAGCGCACACACCACGTCAACCTCGAGCTGACGACTGCCTCTGATCTGCCACGACGACCTCGGGATACCACCACCGAGGTCGGGCTCGCCAACTTTGCCTGGGCGACCGTCGCACTCCTCCGCAGCACTTCGTCACCCAGGTAACCTGGTCGACCAGGCAACCACGTCGACCAGCAGCTCCCGTACGTGCCCGTCGACCTCCCAAGTTGATGACCACCTCCACGTCGACCTCACCAGGTCGACGACACCATCGGTCGACCTCCTCCAGGTCGACATCCCCTCTGGTCGACCAGCTCCACGTCGACCAGCACTCCTGGTCGACCTGCTCCTCGTCGACCAGCACAGTCGTCGGCCGACCACCCACGTCGGCCACCCGAAGCTGGCGTCACGAAGTTGACGCCCCGCTACTCGACGCCCAACTGCCAGGTGTCCTGAGTCGAGGTCGACGTCGGCCCCTCCTTCATCGACCACCAGGTCCAGTCGACCACTAACAGGTCGACCAGCAGTCCGTTAGCCGACTGCCGAAGTCGGCTTCCCCAAGTTGACGTCACCAAGTTGACGTCCTCCGCAGGTCGACACCCAAGTCGACCTCCCTGAAGTCGGCGCCACCCTGTGGTCGGCGCCCATGCAGTGGTCCCCCGTGTAGGTCGACCTCCTCGTCGACCAGCTCACCCACTGCTACAGGTCGGCTGCTCCCCTCACACCCGACCACGAAGTCGGCTCCACCCAAGCGAGGACGGGGCCAATACACAACTCCAGGGCAGTGTCGCGCGTATTGGCGAGGTAGGCGAGGCAGCGGTCGACCTCGCGCCAGTGCTGGTCGCTCCTCACCGTGAGGCCGCTCCCCAGCTTGCTGCAGGCGAAGGCGATGTCCGGCCTCGTCGTCGTCGCCGCGAACTGCAGCGAGCCGACCTTATGCCGGTACTCCTCCTCCTGCCGTTCCTGCGCCTCCTCATCATCAAAGGTGAGCTCGGCGTAGGCACCGATCAAGACCGGCTTCGGGGTGCGCCCGGTCTGCTCCTCGTCAATGAAGCGCCTACGAAGCTTGTCGGCGTAGCCCTGCTGGTGCAGCCACAACTTCCCCGCCGACCTGTCGCGGACGATCTCCAGCCCGAGGTACTTCTGCACCGGCGAGATCTCACACAGCTCGAAGGCAGCTTCCAGCAGCTCCTTCAGCATCGTGGTGCTGCTGCTGGCGGCAAGTAGTTCGTCGACGTAGACCAGCACCCAGCAGGCCACTCCATCCTTGCCAACCTTGAAGTAGAGAGCCTCGTCGACCTGGCTCTTCTTCCACCTGGCGCCGACCAGCGCGTCATTGAGCGCCAAGTACCATAGCAGCGGCGACTGCTTTAGCCCGTATAGGCTCTTCAGCACCTTGCACACCCGGCCGGTCCCGTCGTTGAAGTAGTCCGGCTGGGACATGTAGAGCACCCTGTCGAGCTTGCTTTGCAAGAAGGCGTTCTTCATGTCGAGCTGCATCAGGTTGAGGTTGCGGACGGCGACGATGCTGAGGAAGATCCTCAGTGTGACGTAGCTGCCCACCGGCGCGAACGTCTCGTCGTAGTCGGCGCCGTACACCTGCGTGAAGCCCTTCACAACCAGCCTCGCCTTCTCGCGCTCGACGGTGTCGTCGACGTGGTACTTCGTCGTCAACACCCACCGCTTCTTCATGACGTTCACTCCCGGCGGACGTTCGACCAACTCCCACGTTCCCATGTTGAGGAGGCTGCGAATCTCCTCCTCCATGGCGGCCTTCTCCGCCGGGCCCTTCCAGCTCGCCAACGCCTCCTTCACCGTCATCGTCGAGATGTCCCAACGGTGCTCGGGGTCGGCTAGCATGTCAGGGTCGAGCTCCGGAAACTCCTCATCATCCTCAGCGTCATCGTACAGCAGGTCGTCATCATTGTCCACGTCATACACCGTGGTGAAGGCAGCGGGGACGAAGAAGTCGGGCGGCCTCCGAAGTCGGCCCGAACGCCGTGGTCCCGACTGGGCCTCCTCGGCATCCCCTCCATCGTTACTGTCGTCGCTGCCCTCGGCGACCTGCTACTCCGCAGCCGGCGTCCCAGCCGACTGCTCCACTGTCGGCTTCACTGCTGCCTGCTCCTTTGTCGGCCGCTGGTCCTCGACATGCTTCTCGACCTGCTCCTCCCCTGTCGACGCCGAATGCAATCCCACGTCGACCTGCCGCTCATCACGTCGGCCACCGGCGATGCACTTGGCCGAAGGCGACGTCCCACTACTCCCCTCATCGCCGGAGGCCGACACCGAGGTCAGCCCACGCAGGTCGGCCACGAGGGGAGGGGCAGGGGTTGGAGGGGGAGGGGTAGGGGGGCGGACGTCCTCGACGTCCGTAATAGCAAGCTCACCGACCTCGGCAAGCAGTGGCAGCGTCGCCAACGAGGTGTCAGAGGGCGGGGTGGACGGCGACCGGCCGGACACCGGCCCATGCTCCGTTTTCCACTCGGCCAGTGACATTTCCTCGTAAAACACCACGTCTGACGTGGTGACCACACGGTCAGTGGCGACGTCAAGGAGCTCCCAGCCCTTGCTCGCCACGGACACGCCAAGGTGCAGGCCCCACTCGGCCTTCGGCGTCAGCTTCCCACCACGCTGCTGCTCAGGAACAAGGAACTGCGCCATGCAGCCCCACACCCGCGCCAGCGACAAGTCGGGCTTCTTCCCGGTCAGCAGCTGGTACGGCGTCGTCCCCGGCGGCAGCGTCGACCTCTCAAGGCAGTTGCGGACCCAGACGGCCTGCCGGAGAGCGAGGTGCCACCAGTGGTGCTGCACGCCCATGTGCAGCAGCATTGTCCGCACCGACTCCACCACCGTCCTCATCTCCCGCTCCGCCATGCCGTTCTGCTGCGGGGTGTATGGGCAGGTCAGGTCGTGGACGATCCTCTTGCCGTTCACGAAGTCGGTGAACTGCTTCCCGAGGAACTCCCCTCCCTTGTCTGAGCGCAGCATCAACACCGACTTCGTCGTATGCCGCTAAGCCACCGCCAGCCACTGTACGAACGCCGACAAAGCATCTGACTTCTTGGCGACCGGCTTCACCCACACGAAGCGGGTCTTGCGGTCCTTCACCAGCAAGAAGTACAGGCTGCCATCCTTGGCAGTCACGCGGAACGGCCCGCACAGGTCGATGTGCACCACGGCCAGCACGTCGTCGGCGTCGGAGCCTTGGTCGGGGAAGGTGTGTCGCGCCAGCTTCCCGCCGACACACGAGACACACGGGGAGTCGGCGTCCGTCGCCGACTTGAGGTCCAGCCCAATGGCGACCTCGTTCTTCGCCGAGCTCCGTATGGTGTCCATGACGACATGCGCAAGCCTCGCATGCATCCAGTCCGGCGTCGACTTTGTCTTCGAGACGATCGCCCGCAGAGCCACCACCTCCGTCGTGGGCGGCGTCGACCTCGTCGCGCAGGGACGCAGGTCGGTCTAGAGGACTCGCGCGGAGTACGTCGCCCGCCCGAGCACCTCCCCTGCTGCCGAGATGAGCAGCATGCCGTCGTCGTCCTCCTGCATCTTCACGCCGTGCTCCTTCAGCTGGCCGGCTGACAGCAGGTTGGCCCGCACACCTGGGACGTACAGCACGTCGGGGATGAGCACCTCCTTCCCGGCCTCTCCTTGCAGGGAGACGGCGCCACGGCCCTGAACGTCCTGCAGCGCCCCATTAAAGCCGCGCACGTGCTTGATGGAGCCACTCGGCTGCAGGTCGACGAAGGCTTCCTTCGTTCCCATCAGGTGGTGGGAGCAACCGCTATCGAGCAGGTTCACCGGCGGGTTCGCCTGCACAGCCGCCGCCACCGCCTGGAAGTCCTCTCCGGCCTCCGGCGCCAGAGAGATGGTCGGCTCCACGACGCCGACCAGCGAGCACGACGCCATCTTGTCGTCTCGCCCCTTGCCGCCTGCAACGGAGTCGGCGTCCTTCGCCGAAGTCGATGCCTTGGTCGACTGTTTCTCCTTGCGCGGATGATTTCCTCCACGACGAGGACGACTGCTGCCAGACCTCCCGTGGCCGCCCTTGTCGTCGTCGTCGGATTCACTGCGGTCGGGACAATCGAAGGAGAGGTGATCGGGGCTGTGGCAGATCCAGCACTCCCGACGTCGACCTCCTCCTCCTCGACCGCCGTCCTTGGTCGACTTCTTCTCGACCTCCTTGGTCGACTTCCAGCCACCGCTCCCGCCGCCACCATGCTGTCTGTGCTGTCCTGGTCGGCCTCCTTGCTTCGCCGGGGCGACAAAGTTGGCCTGCGCCAAGAGCTCCTGCGATCGCTCAGCTTCCTACATCGCCTCGTCCTGCAGGATGTACGAGGTCAGGTTGTCCTCGTTGAGCGTTGCCCTTGTGCTCGGCGCCATAGACAGCCGCTTCAGCAGGTTATAGCTGCTAGACAGTCCCTGCATGACATGGGTGATGTACGACGCCGTAGAGTACTGCGCGCCGGCCATCCTGATGGTGGCGAGAATTCGCCTGGCTCGGTTGCAGTAGTCGGTCGCA